CCCTCTGTCCCCCCTGTACCCCCTGTCCCCTCTGTCCCCCCTGTACCCTCTGTACCCTCTCACTTCAAGCATCTCAGGTTGCTTCTGCTCAACGTGCACAGAAATCCGTTATATTCTGAGCACTGGGGAGAGTCAGGTATCACCGCCTGTTTCCTAGAATCCACTCCAAATAACTGCCGGCTAAAGAACAGTGCAGGCTGGGGCCAGCAGTTGGCATAATGGCTATGTCGCTGGACTCCCATGTAGTCGACTATGGTTCAAGTCCTGGATCTGGTGGCTTAAACTCATGCCGGGCACGTGTGTGTGCGCATGCCCAAGATCCCGAGAGGAGAATGGAGGAGAAGGGATTGGGCGTGACCATCCCCCCTGGGGGGGGTGATTTCTTGCTTTCTGTCTCTCTGTCTGTCTGGTGAGTGCACATGCCCTATAGCGAAAACCTCTCCAAAAAAATTATTAAGAAGAAAAGAACAACGCAGACTGCCAGGGCATGTCGAGTGGAATATGCTGCGCTGGGTGTGAACGGGGAACAGCGTCTGCTAAGACAGCGTAACACATAGCACCAAATTCCTGCCAAACTTGAACACTCGTGGCTCTGGCCTCACCCGTCCATACCAGGACACACCTGCTCGCGAGCACCGAGACCTCGCTGCAGGGCTACCTGGGATGCTCTGCAGGGCGCAGCCACGCAGGAAGGTTCCAGGTTCACAGCTGGAGGGCCCCTCCCCTGAGTACACTAGGTGCCCCTGCTCCAGGGCTGGCTGAGGCTGGTGGTGGGTCAGGAGACCAAAACAGTGGGAGGTCCTCTCTCTCTCTGCCTCTCACTCACAAAAGAAATGAGCGCGGGGCCAGCAGGTGGCGTGGCAGCTGGAGTGCGGGGCTCCCACATGCTCAACTGTGGCTTTAGTCCCAGGCCTGGTGGCCTTCGCGCTCTTTCCCCCTCTCTGCTAAGCACCTGTGTCCTATAGCAAATTAAAAATAATAAATAAATAAATAAGAAATGAGTTTAAAATAAGAACAGACAGTACAGCCCTGCCATTATAAGGAAGTGACAACAACTTGAATGACCATGTGGAAATCATTACATAAATCAAGCGTGGTGTACCAGTACTGCGGAGTCACTACACGGAGGACGGCGCCACGGTGCCGGTATGGGAAGATTCGTAACATGCTGCCCAGCAGCTGGCGGGGTGGCAGGGCACTGGACTCCCACATGGTTGACCTTGGCTCAAGTCTTAAACTGCACCTTGAAAACTACACCAGGGACATGTGTGTGTGCCCAAGTACCCCAAGAGGGGAACGGAGAAGGGACAGCAGCGTGGCCATCCTCCCCTGGAGAGTGATTTCTCACTTTCTCTCTGTCTCTCCAGCAAGCACATGTACCCTATAGCAAAAAAGAAAAAAAGAGAGAGAGGGAGCGAGCGAGCGAGCAGACCCCTAGGACATACTGGTACAGGAAAGAGAGAGACACAGAACAACGCGGAGGAGTCCACCCACGCCTTTTTAAAAAGCCCAGGAGCCATTATGTGAATACTCGCATACACGGTTACTCATTCAGCAAATATTCTGAGCCCCTGTTACATGCTGAGCCTCCTTCTGGGGACTAAGAATAGAGCCAGGATCAAGACAATCCCTGACCTCAGGAGGTGACATTCAAAAGAGGCAGGGACGAATGTAGGCACCCAACTTCAGCCTAGAGAACTCGAGAATGGCAGTGGGGCAGGAAGCCCTGGGGGAGCCTTTCATCTCAGGCACGGGCTTCGCTCCGCAGTGCCCTGAAAGACCTGGGCTATGGGCCTCTCCCCTTGGTTACAGCAGTCAGGGAAGAACGACCCAGCCATGCAGACTAGGAGAGAGACAT